GCTTTATCTTATATCTCTTAAAATACTAATATAATACGATTATATATCTCGGTAGGTCTATTAGTTCTCGTTATAGAGTTTAGTAGCTTCGAGTCTCTTTATACTTAGGACGCGTATATTACGTTAGTAGTAGTAAAGTAGGTCGTTTTCTATTATAATTTTTAGTAGAATAAATAACTAATATCTCTTCGACTAGAGTAGATTCTATATAAATATTAAACTTTTATCTTTATAGTATATATTTCGTACGAACTAGAAGAGACTATAGATATATAAATATATCGTTTATAGAGTACTTTTAGCTTTCTAACGAAGAGTCTCCGAATTCCTTTTATACTATTTCGGCGATATATAAGATAGATATTCCGAAATCTTCTAAAGATAATAGTTATAATATAAGTCTTAAAGTTCGTATAGAAGCTCTTACTATACGTTAGTAGTATTATATCTAATAATCGACTTTTTTGCTTACTAAGTTCTAGTCTAGATATATATTACTAAATTATTAGAATATCGGAACTCTTTCGTTTTTGCTATAGTAAAGAGCTACTCTAAAGTAAACTTAAATATTACGAGCTATATACTATAATAGATATCGATATATAAGTTATATCTACTAGGACGTAGGCTAGGTAGAACTAAATACGCTACTCTAAGTCCTTTAAAACTATATAGTAGATATCTATCGTATAATTAATAAATACGCTAGAAGAACTATAGTAGCGTTCTTATAGAAAGTAATATACTAAGCTCTAACGACTCTCTACTTCTTTTCTTTTCTACTTTTATACTTCTCTATATACTTATCTTTCTAGAGATTTCTTTTACTTATTTTATTTTATTATTTATAGCTAACTACTATATACTATAATCTTTACGAACTAGTATTAATCTAACTATAGAAGTAGAACTCGAAAACTAATATTAGATATCTAACGTTAGACTCTAAAGTACGAACCTACCTATACTTTTAAGAAATATAATTATAGCTTATACTATCTCTATATTTAGTCGCTATCTATCTCTATTAACTAGTAGTCCTATTCTTAGCTCTTTCTTCTAACTTTTTCTACCTAAGAGGAACGATATATTACTCTATCTATTACTAGTAGCTTCTTTTACTATTCGCTATAGAGAACTCTATAAGAAGTAATATAGAATTATATACTTAACGGACTCTACTCTACTTCTATACTTATAGACTACGCTCTCTAGTTACTACGTATAAGCTAGGTATCTATATAAATAGATATAGCTAGTTTATACTTATACTAGTATTTCTATATCTTTATATATTAGCGCTCTATATAGCTAGAGTATATACTTCCTAGATAGAGTACTATTAATTATATAAGTATATTTCCTCTATACTAGTACCTTCTTAGATATATTAGCCTCGATTACTAATCGGAGTAGCTTAGAGGCTTTAGAATATTCCTATATCTAGCGTCTAAGTTCTATACTCGAGATATATTCTATCGATATAGTTTCTTAGGCTATATAATATACCTTCTTATTCTCTATAATTCTATAATATCTAGGTATCTATAGTAACTTAACGTAGATATCTCTTTCGTTTACTAATTAGATCTCTCGGAGTATAGCTAATACTATAACGCTATAAACTAACTCTTAAAGATAATATCTCTACGAAAGTATAGCCGAAGTATTATAGCCGACTTTTAGAGAGTAGATATTATAGTCTATTTAGCTAGTAATATATACCTAGCTCTAGGAATTATCTTAATATATATTTCGGTAATCCGAGAGTTTCTCTATTTATTAAGATAGATCTATAGTTCGTTAGATAATATAAGACTAGTAATTACGCTAACTTTATACTATAACGTATACGTAGCTATTTCCGCGCTATACTATCTCTAGATATATCGTATAATAGAGTATAGCGTATAGTCGTACGCTTCTCGACGCTTCTATCGCTACGTTAGGTTCGGCGCTTCTGCCTACTATCCGCTTTCGGACAAGTCTTCGAGTACCTACAGATCCCCTAGAAACTCTAGTTCCTTCTTCCTATTCCTCTATAATGTTTCCGTATAGTAGTACGGTGCCTATAGACAGAGCTAGCCTAGTACTAGCCGAAGATGCGTGCTCTAGTATAGTGAGATCTTTTCGCGCTCGATCGCACTATACTAACGTTCTCCGCACGACGCTCTAACATCGCGCGCGCGGACGCCCCTCGCTAAAGGCGAAGGCGGAAAGTTAGCAGTACCTCGATCTATAGGAAGAGAAGGCGCTAGTCGCGTTTCTCGTCCAGCAAGATGCCCTTGCTCGGCCTATTCGGATCAAATATGTAGGCTCGATTGCGTTTAGTCTCGCTCGCTAGCGGACGCCCTCGAAGAGGCCTAGCAAACCGCCGGGCAAACATTGTCGGCGATGCAGCGGCATGCAGACTGCGAGATGTGCCTCGTATAAAGACTTCGAGGAGCAGTTAGCCCAAACAGAATTTATATCGTTAGCGTCGCCCTAACACCTGCGACATGAGTTCTACACCGCTCTACGGATTATAGCGTGGCTTCTGCCAATTAACATGGTTTTTGCAGTAGCCATTACGACGAGCACCGCCTTCATTCTTTACCGAGTTCGTAATGCAGAAGGGGAAGTCTCCGCTCCCTCGTGGGTCCTCTGGATACAGAGAGCACTTTGCGGCTAGGTCTGGGTACGCAATCGAAAGGAGCTTGGGAGTGTACATCGTAATGCCAGGCTGATCCGTTTCCAGGCGCCCGCATTCAGCTTCTATGTGATAACAGCCGATCTTGATCCATTGGACCCTGAAATCGACCCTGACCTCCTATTAGGGCCTTACGCGCGTGAATATTGCTGGGATCACGCTTCCCTCGCTGAAGCTGAAGGTGAATCGCTCGAATACATCTTTGAGATCACTCAGTGGCACTCGCTCAAGATTGCTTACACATGGAGAATGCCAGGTGACTACTGTGCCTACCGCCACATTAGTAGGGGCATGACGCTACAACATCTGGCAGCGTATTACGGGATTTCCAGCATCTTCGAACAAATAGGCTCCACAGTACAGAAGGCCAAATTGACAAAGGAGCAGCTTCCAGGATCAAGATCTGACCTAGATCCGAAAGATTGTGAAGGACGCACTCCGCTTTGGTATGCAGCGTGTAACGGCCAAAGGAAAGTCGTCAAGCTGCTTCTTGGAAGCGAGCGGGTCGATGTGAATCTCCCGGACAAGGATCAAAAGACGCCTTTGTCGAAAGCAGTAGAGAATGATCACGAGAACATAGTAAGACTGCTGCTTCAGAACACGAAGATAAACGCGGATCTCCCGGATTGGAATCAACAGACCCCTTTCGCGATAGCAGCAAGAAATTGCCACGAGAATATCGTGAGACTGCTTCTTCAGAATGCACAAGTGGACGTGAATTCGCGGGACCATATTCAACAGGCCTCTTTGGCGATAGCAGCGGAAAGGGGCCACGAGTATGTCGTGAGACTGCTTCTCGCCAGGACAGACGTCGACTGTAACGCTTGCGACGATGACAAACAGACGCCTCTCCACAGGGCAGCATACAATGGCCATGAGAATATCGCGAAGATGCTACTGGATAAGGAAGAAGTTCTCATTTGGACAAAGCATAGCCTTGGTTGGACGCCTCTCTACAATGCAGTGCATAAGGGCCATGCGCAAATCGTCAGGCTCTTTTTGGAGAGAAATCTGATCGATGTTGACAGCAAGGATTATAGCGACAGTAATGAAACACTTCTCGAGTGTGCAGCGAGGAAAGGCTGTGCGGAAATTGTTCGGCTACTTCTCGAGACGGGAGAAATTGACATGAATGTGCACGACCTCTCCCAGCCTTTCGCGCAAGCAGTGGCCGACGGCTCCGAAGAAATCGTCAAATTGCTCCTGGAAACTGGGACAGTAAACACTAGAATGAACGTGGAAGTGTCTACTATCAGTCGTGAGGACTCGTTTTCTGGCACGGCATCAGAAATAGCTAAGCACTTCAAGCATCGGAGTATCTTGGAACTGATAGGAGACCACGAAGATCCGCAAATGCAAGAAGACGCTGCACGATACCAACTTGACGAAAGTGAGGATGACCAAAGCGACGACGGAATTCAACTTATCAGCATGTGGAGACAACGACAGCGAGCAAACGCAAGCTGAAGAGCTCACAGCACTAATCCCACGAGATTGAGTGCGACACGAGCGCCTGCGAAGTTCGAATACCAACGGGAAAGGAATGCAAACGCAGTGAGACTTTGACTCCAAGCCCTATCAAGTCTGTCGTTCTGGCGACCAGATTGACGCAAAAGAGGACAGAAACGTGATTAGAAGCTCTCCTACTCCGTCCACGTTTGAAGTCGAATCCAATGCGACAGAGTATTCCGCACGCCAGGTTGACAAGTCCGGCAAGCGCAGCGACGCAAAAAGCTCAGAATAAAACATTTGAAACACGTTTTCTGGTGCACATGAGAATGGGACCGGTGAAGCTAGATTCTACTCCCGGAAGACGTTCAAGAAGTCGCCCGCGGACACGCATGCAGGGGAGAGAGCAGATCTCAGATTATTGTGCACGTCGGGGATGTAGTCGGTGTGGCTGATGATTGTGTGAGCATGAGAGGTAGTTGTGGTTTACGCCACGCGACGAACGACGCCGCCTCGTGTCCTAGCATGCGAATACCCCTGCGCTCGTGGCGCGTGCTACCCTGACTCCTAACTTAGGGTGTTTTGTGTATTTAGCCTCCTAAGCACACCTTGCAATTTGCAGCCAATGGGCTTTACTTCCGTTCTCCATGCTCGCTCGACGCGGGTTCTTCACTTGCGCTGTGTATGAGCTTCGTGCATGCATACCTCGCGCGACTTGCGCTGGCGCTTGAGCTGCCTTCATGCGCCATGCATATCCCGGCTCGCATATTCACATGTCACAGCGCGGCGCAGTCATTCCCGATGGAATTTCTCCCACAGAGATCGAAGACTCACAATTCTGGTTCACTTGCAATCTTGTCTACCGGACGCATAAAGCAGACGAGATCAATGTCGCCCTAGAACGCTCAGATGCGTGCACTTCCGGCCTAGTTCATTCGAGGTCGCGAGAGCGTCTCACCTGATGGACGGCAATAGAACCTATTGCATGTTGGTACGAATCATGCGTTCCGGATCAGATACTGTGCGTCAAAGCCCTGGGAGTGCCTTCATAACGCTGATTCGCTTAAGCATAAGCTGCAGATGCACTTCCCTGGTCTGTGACTCCGTACGTGATAACAGCTGTGAGTGCATATGCACCCCTCTTCCACGGCCTTCGACCTCTCTCCGCGCAAAGCGAGTATGATTGATTTCTACGCAGAGTTGGCGGAGCCCGCCACCACAGGTGGCGCGGTTGTGATTCTGGAACGACCGTCAACTGCTGAGCGACTTCGATATGGTGGAGGGTATGACACAGTGCTATCCAAGACCAAAACATTACGCGAAGTGAAAAGGCTGGTGTCAATGGCCACGAATAAGGCCATGAGCATCCACGATGTCACGATTTGGGACGCGTTTCCTCTTCAGCCCAAGGACAACTTTAACAATCAGGATGCAAAGAAGAGTTCGAAGCTCCTTTATAGACTCCTCTGTGCTAAAAGGCCAGACCTCGTGATATCCTGCTTCCGAGCAGGAAAGCACGAAGGTGTGATCACGAACCTTCAGCATCCTGGAGTGGGAAACAAATCGAACAATCAGTACTATCCTTTCAAGGTCGATAAAGATCAGCATCAATTCAAGAAGATTGACGCCTTTCATCCCAGCTTTGCGATATCTTACCATCCAAAGGAGGATTGCTTCATTCAGCTGTTGTAATTACAGTTCGCCAAAGGTCTTGGGGAGTGGTACGGAACTTGGCGGGAAGCGCGCTGGATGGACGATCTTCGCAAGGGAGCCAGAGCCCGTAAAGTGGACTTAGACCGTGAGCGAACGGCGAACGAGGCCCTGGAAACAGGCTGGGATGACAACCAAGTACAGCAACTCACTTCACGACTGGGGGATATGGATATGTCGTACAGAACTCCTACTAGCCAGTCAAGCGACATCACTTTCGGGACTGGTCACCTACGATTGCGAGTCCCGAGAAAGTTGATCAAGCAAGCGGAGTCAATGCAATTGAGCTATTTAGCAGGTGTCTGATACAGGAGCCGAAACCGGTTGACGGTCCGGTCGCCATCTAGCTGTTGGCTACGATGAACATACGGTGCATGTCGATATCGAAAGCCATCAGGCCCGTATTCATGGCTCTAGCTACGCCGCAGGCTTTCGGGAACTTGAGTGGCTGGCACTGGGTTGAACTTAACACTGCTGCGTTTTGCTTGAACATTTGTGGTTTCGATATCTAGTGTGCCTGTACGATAGTCCATTCGCTTGAAACTTTTCTCATTGCATCGTCGAAGTGCCAGAAATGAAAAGAGCAACATATCGTCCGTCAAGCTTCGAGTAAACGATTGTCCTTCGGATGCTGTGACCATGAATTCCAACCGAACTCACCTGCAACTCTTGATACATAGCGTCATGGCATAACATGCGCATATTCCTGGAGGGCTTGAGCTACAAACAATGGAGCAAGCAGATACCCCAATCGCTGCCTGATCCTGCCGTGTATTCCTGATGCTATATACTCGTGGTTGAAGGCACAACATTCTTCCAGCTCCCAAAAGGACTTCATACATGCAATCTATCACCGAGTGCGAACACTACTCCTTCTTGACGTTGCTCTGGAACAGTTTCTTGGCATTGCCTGCCGGGCTATATGAGCACACCAAGCATGCTCCTTTAGCAGGTACATTGCTTTGAAAGTCGACTGATGCACAACCGATATCTGTCGTATCTTGCCACACCAACTGGGTAAAATGACCAGTTTCGGTTGAGAACTTACCACTTTTAAAATTATTACTTGGCTCTCTCATCGCCCCATACCTTGATCGTGCCAGCCGTACTCCTGTATCGATAGCGCATACAGAGGCACTTCGGAAGGTTCGCCTCTTCTGTAGGATGACGGTACGGAAGAATCATATCCCAGCCAATCAGTAATTGGACTGGTGTAACTGTTAACACATTGTTGAGAAATGGAGGACCACAATAGTATTCTTCTCGTCGGAGCTCGCTGCAGTCAAGCTGAAGCATACTGTCGCATTGCCAGACCTCTGACTTGTACATGCATGTTGGGATGCACTGCAATACGCGCTGCAGGTTTGAGTTGCGTGCACCAAACCAGTGGAGGAGGTACTACACCTCTTCAGGTAGCTGTCAATTTCTCACAAAACTTAGTGGCTGTCAAGATTCTCCTGCTGGAAGATGAAGGTGATGTCAATACAGCGCAGACCCAATAAGACAACAAACAGGTTGCTCAAGAGACTCGTACGTGGTACCCAAAACTATATCCGCACTCTACCACAGACTTGTCTCATTGTAAAACCCTTCATATGGTTCAGCGTTGGCCATCAGGCCGGCCACATGGTGTAGGTCTGGTGCATCCCTCATTCAAACGGCCATTCTTCAGGTGGATCCATCTCACCAAGATGGGATGGACACTTGGTCGGTGCATCTTCACAATCGCAGGAAACGAAGCAGACCTTCGAAGGTCTCTGGAACTTGGACTTTTTGTAACGTTTCGCACAGACGGGACATTCTTTCACAGAGCTGGTACCACACTCCATGCAAACAGGAGCGCACACCGCGCTCATGCTCTGTTTCCATAACTGATATGCCAAACCATCAATGTGTCGAATAGCAGTTTCCATCGCATCGTCCTTCGTAAGGTCTTTGCCATGCTGAAGAATCGTTGTAACGATTTTATCGCGTAGTCTCGAGTCCTCAGGTGAAGTCGTAAAGGCGATCGAAACAGCGTGCACAAAACTTGCATCCATCCATGCGGTCGATACTCTGTTTTCAAATGCTTCCAGTGCCGCGTGCGCCAGCGAAGGGATCCCGTATTTGTCAGACAGAGCGAAGACTTTCGCATGCAAGCAGAGCTGCCCAGAACAGACACCAGTGCCTGCTCCCTCTGTTTCATCCCTATGTAGGTATAGAAAGTCGACCATGCACTTTATCGCCTCCGGATCATCTTTGCTAACGTCCAGGTCATGATGCCCATGTTCAATTGCTTCCAGTGTGATTGTACTGTCGTGACCTTCCTATGAGGTAATCAGTAAGACATAGATGCTACAAAGACTTTGCGCGTTGTTGTTCAATACTCACACGCTACACTTTCTTGAAAGCACGCTCGAAGAACGCAGACTTAGGCAACACGATAGCCCGATGAACTTTCAGGATATGTGGACCACAAACGATAGTCATATCTGAGTACGACCCAGTCTCGTAGATGCTGTCAGTCTGCTAAGCGTTCAGTGCTTCTAGACAGAATTTTCGTAGACTAACCTCTCTAGAGCCGTGTCCGTAGCAAGCCTGCCTAACTCTATAGCTATATGGTAGTAATTGCGTCTCTTCTCTGCCTCTTTGCCTTCGATCGGAATTGCGAGATGTGCGAAGCCGCAAAATGTACGCAGAGCGCAACGTAAACAGACCTATTAGTGCCTATAGACGGATAAGTTTGCAGTCTCGAGGCGGCCGGAGCTCTAAATAGACCGCTTAGAGCCCTTGCGTCGCTAATAGCTATACCTATACCTTTAAGCTATAAGTAGTAGACCTAATATTGTCTATATAATCGGATATATAGGTTTAGGGGAGAGCTAATTAGCTTATCGCTAATAATATAAGTATAGTAGTCCTCTCTCCTCTATTCCTATCTTGCTCTATATCTACGTTTTGCTATATTTATAGACTAAGTCGCTCGCTTATATTCTCGGGCTTATATATATAATAATACGAGATATACTCTATTACTATACTAACTTATATAGAGTTAGTAGGCGTATTAGAGGCGTAATAAGGCGTTAATCTTAGTATATACTATACTATACTACTAACGGGTAGTATTCGTAGAAGGAATAGTAAAGCTACTCTAGTACCTCGGATAAAAAACTCGTCTAGCTAAGTAACTATAGTATATCTAAAAGACTATACTTCTATTTTATTCTTAACTCTTATATTATTTAGATATATTAAATAATATATAGTAATAGAGTCTTCTAGGCGCGCTAAACTACTACTAAATAAGTAGGGACGCTTTTAGTAAT